ACATATGGTCCCAAGCACACAGTAGGCCAAGCATCTCCATATTTCTTTATTTTATTAGATTTAAATGGGGATAAGTAAACTCAGTAGAATTTAACTTAATTTAAAATTAGATTAATTTTACTGAATTTATTGGAATGATAGCCAATTTTAGCTAAAGGATCCAGGCTAGGAGTCAAGAAGCCCATCCCAGGCTTACCAGGTGACTGTGAACATGTCACCTGACCCATAGGCACCTGAAGTAGAACCCAGCAGAGATGGTGATACATGTTATTTCCACTTTCCAAATCAGAGTGAAAGGAAAGAGAAGGAAACTTGGAGATTGCCAAATATCCAGAAGCTATTTTTGGAAATGACATTTCCATTCACTTTTCTTTTAAAAAAAAGTGGCTCAGTGCCTGTAGCTCAAGCAGCTAAGGCGCCACAGCCACATACACCAGAGCTGGCGGGTTCGAATCCAGTCTAGGCCTGCCAAACAGCAATGACAACTACAACCAAAAAATGGCCAGGCGTTGTGGCGGGCGCCTATAGTCCCAGCTACTTGGGAGGCTGAGGCAAGAGAATTGGTTAAGCCCAGGAGTTGGAGGTTGCTGTGAGCTAGGATGTCACAGCACTCTACCTAGGATGATGGCTTGAGGCTCTGACTCAAAAATAAATAAATAAAAGGAAAAAAAAGATATTAGACTAACAGGTAGGTACTGACAATCTAAATGGAAGCAAAAGAAGATTCTTCCAGTGGCTGACCCCTTATGGTTTAAAAATCAGGGTGCTCCCCCATGTTCACACAAACACTACCCATAACCTTAAAAAATGAAAAATGAAGAAATTATTACTTGACTTTCAAAATGCTGGACGAGGACAATTTATATAATCTAGAAATAGATTCTGTGGGATAAATATAGAAAACTTCCTATTAATACTGAATAAAAGTTCCAAGAAGGTAGAAATGTCATGTGGTTCTGTTAAAATGAGGCTCCAACCTGGCAAATTCCGTAGCCACAGATTGTTTTCTCCTTAAAGCAAAAGTTTGTTCAGAGGACTTTTAAGGTACCACAGAATTCCTCCATGTGGCACAAATCAAATCCCATCTAGTGAACAAATGGGTCCCCAAAAACCTTACTCCATGACTTAATCTTGGGCTTCCACCCATCGTCATAATTACTTGCATTCTATTTCAATCTCAAATGTGATTGTTTTCCGCGATTCTTAAGTTGCCAGCAGCTGGCATTTCCTTTTTTTTTTTTTTTTCATTTCCAGTATTATACAACTCCAACTGAGTTATAAGAAATAGAACATTAAGTTTCAACTACTCAGCCCATCTATAGGATAATATTCAAACAATATACACAACTGTCGAAGGCAGTGCAAAAATGTTCTTCCCATATTTTCTGCCCAAATGATAAATACCTTTCTATAGTCATTGTGCTCCAAGTTAAATGCAGAATACATGTATGCCACTAAAGTAAACCACACAAGACTCACACAGGGAAACTACTAGCCATAGATATGGCAAGTTAACTTTGTACTTGTTAACAAAGTTTTTCGGTATGATTCCCAATGAACTATGAAAATCACATGGACAGTATTGATATATAGAAACAATGAATTTAAACATAAGGTAGGTTCATAACCAAACTAAAAAAATTCTGTTTTAAAATACTGAGATTCTTTACACATCACAGCCACATCTGTAAAGATGTTTCCTTAAGTTTATAAATCTTCTTTGTTGTAACTTTAAAAAATAGAGTTACAATAATTCACCAACATGCTCTGAGCTGGCAATATCATACGCTGTTAAACACAGCACTGAATGGACTTACTATAAAACTCTAGAAGAGATTTTGTTTAGAACCCTTGGCCCTCAGTTACTTTTGCTTAGAGCGGTATATTTTATGCTATACAGTTTTTACTAAATTACATAGAAAATGATTTTTAGGCTAGGCGCCTGTGGCTCAATCGGCTAAGGCGCCAGCCACATACACCTAAGATGGCGGGT